TCCAGAACCCTGCTGGTCCAGAACCCTGCAGCTGGTCCAGAACCCTGCAGCTGGTCCAGAACCCTGCTGGTCCAGAACCCTGCAGCTGGTCCAGAACCCTGCAGCTGGTCCAGAACGCAGCTGGTCCAGAACCCTGCTGGTCCAGAACACAGCTGGTCCAGAACCCTGCAGCTGATCGAGAACCCTGCTGGTCCAGAACCCTGCAGCTGGTCCAGAACCCTGCAGCTGGTCCAGAACCCTGCTGGTCCAGAACCCTGCTGGTCCAGAACGCTGCTGCTGGAGTTCTGACTAGAACCAGGAGGATAGAGACACCACCCTCTGAGTAAAAGACCAGATTCTCCTCAGGCTCTGCAGGCCTCAGTTAGCAGGTTACAGTTCATGACAGATAATCAGAAACAGACCAAGGCGGCATCAATCCCACCAGCTCTGTTTAATCCGCTTCAACCCGACTCCAGTCATTTGCTTAGAAAACCTGTTTGGTTGGTGAGGTGTGAACACTAATCCACCTCTGACCTCTGGTAATCCAAACCTTGGTCTGGGTTCGGTTTGAATGTGAACGCCAAACGGACCGGAGGCCGCTCCAAAAGCAGGAAGGGGACTACAGCACAGGGCATTCTGGGTAAATACAGCCAAACATAACGTGTTAGCCTAGCGCTAGCAGCAGAAATGTCTCCTGGTCTTCAGCCTAAAGAGAAATCCTCCAACACTAAAATCTGACGCCTCCATCTTGTTTCCATCTGGTGAAGAAGGAAGTTGCTCTCAGTGTCTTCAGAGGTTTTTGTGTCGTTTCCTTCAGTGGTTCTTGGTGCAGCGCCCCCACAGGCCAGGAGGGGAACAGGTTGATTTGACTCAGAACCACAGCAGCTGGAGGTGGAGCAGATGATGGAGTTCTGGTTCCAGTAGAACCGGGTCGACTGGACCATCAGCAGGGAAAACAATCCTAAATAATTAGTTTGGCAGCATTTTCCGTTTCCAGTGGGAATGATAAATGATGACAGAGTGACAGACAACATGTAAGTAGGTGAAGTTTAGAAACATGAGTATATCAGTAAACCTGTTACTCCCTGAAAATGGAAGAATGTTGCTGTTTTGGTCCCTAATCGAACCCAGTGTACCGGACTGTCAGGGGGAAAACATCCTTCGCTGGTCAGTTTGTGTAGGAAGGATTCTCTCTCTCTCGTTGGTCTCTGCTGACTTTAGAGGATATAAAAGCTTCATGGTGTAACTCGGCTCCTCTCAGCTCGAAGCTGCAGCATCATGACTAACTCTTCACAGGTCCTGTATTTCACTCTGACTGCCTACTTTGACATTGGGAGTTTGAAATACCTGTACTTTATGATGGTTATGTGTTTCTATGTCCTGATTATCGGCTCCAACGTCCTGCTGATCGTGGTGATCTGTGTGAACCGGAGCTTACATGAACCCATGTTCCTGTTCCTCTGCAGCCTGTTTGTGAACGAACTGTTCGGTAGTTTGGGTTTGTTCCCCTTCCTGCTGGTCCAGATCCTCTCTGATGTTCACTCCGTTTCTGCTCCGCTCTGCTTCCTGCAGATCTTCTGTGTTTACAGTTATGCAGCAGTTGAAGTTTTGAACTTGGCCGTCATGTCTTATGACCGGTACGTGGCCATCTGTTTTCCTCTGCAGTATAACTCCACCATGACGGATAGAAAGGTCGCGTTGCTCATTGCCCTGACCTGGGCGTTGCCTGTTCTGGCCACTGTGGTTCTGGTGTCGCTCAGCGCCCCCCTGCGGCTCTGTGGGAACGTCATCGATAAGGTTTTCTGTGGGAATTTCTCCATCGTTAAGCTGAGCTGCTCTAACACCAGCGTGAACAACGTTTACGGTCTGGTTCTGACGGTCGTCTCCATCGTCGCGCCGCTCGTTTTAATCCTCTACACCTACGGAAAGATTCTGGAGGTTTGTTTCTCCGCGACCAAACAGACGCGGCAGAAAGCCGTCAGCACCTGTACGCCTCACCTGGCCTCCATCCTGAACTTTTCTTTCGGCTGCTGTTTCCAGATCCTGCAGAGCAGGTTTGACCTCAGCAGGGTGCCTCCTCTGCTGGCCATCGTTTTGTCGCTTTACTTCCTGACCTGCCAGCCGCTCTTCAACCCGGCGCTGTACGGCCTGAAAATGGCCGCCATCCGAGACGCGTGTAAACGTTTGTTATGTGGGGAAAACTCGGCTCCTGCAGCAGCTTCTCATGCCTGAGAACTCACCTTCTGTTAGTGGTTTCCAAGCTCAGGTTTTTCTCTAATGAAATATTATTTTCAGTTTGTAGATGAGGAATCATTTTTCACATGTTGGTGCCGACATTTTTCTCTGTTTTGATGTTTTTTTGTTTTTGCAGATGTTTTAAAACAGGAACGTTGAACTTATTTTCATTTCAGGTCACATTAGAAGCCATGAAGGGCCTCAAAGGGCAGCTGTGGCCCTGCAGGCTCCAGACTGACAGAAAGAGAACTTAAAGGTAATATTTGTCTGTTTAAATTGTGTTTTATTAGTCAAGTTAAATTAGTTTTTGTTTTTATGAATTACTTGGATGCTGAACATGAAATCTTTAAAGGCACCGTTTTAACAGCTGGCTATTCGTTTCATCAGTAGTTTTTGCCTCATCTGGCCCTTTGAGGACCTTCATGGTTCATGATGGGACCTGAAGTGAACTTCAGTTTGACATCCATGATCTACAGTTTACATTAATACTGATGTGTTTCTGGCTCACTGGATAAATTATAAAAAACTGAATCTGTCTTCCTGTTTTTTCTCTATAAAACAATAAAAGCAGATCCTGCAGAGCAGGCTGGACCTCAGCAGGGTGCCTGGTTCTTAAAATGGGTCTAAAACCGAACATTAAAACAGTTATTGAAATGAATATCATAGAGTAAATGATTTACTCTTATCAGTGAACAAATACAGGAACTGGTTTGATTATTTGGTTGGTTTATTATTTATGGAAGCAATAAAAACAGTTATTCAAGGTTAAAATAAACTTAATCAGTTGGAAAGTTATCAAAATGCAGAAAAAAATCTAAAATGTTTAGAACAGTAAGATTTTTGTTTTGAAAAATGGGAAAGAAAAATTTTTGGTAATGAGTAAATATTTCCCAGACATAATGGTCGCATCATGTTGAGCAGTTTTAATTTGTTGCAGTTTTGTATAATTATTACACAATTAGCTAGAAAAAGACGAGAGCAAACCAAACCTTAAACCTTAAAGCTTCTTTTTGTCATTTATTTTTCTTAATTTGTAGCACTGAATAACAATAAAAACATCCAAACAAAATAAAGGAATTAGCATAAAAAAGCATAAAAATAATGTAAATATCCAAATTGCCAGACAATGGATGTTAGAACCTTGTACATGAAGTGACATTTGAACAATAGTGTGTTTGGGCAGATAGAAACAGAGTGAAATCCCACCAAAAAAATCAAATTTCAGGAAAATGTCTATAGCAAAACATGGAAATTTCTGAGTGTAAAAAGTGAAAAATTTGCTAGAAAAACCTGATTGATTTTTTTTAACTTATAGTCACTATTGCATTAATCAATTAGAGTAAAGATAAACACATGGATGAGTTTCTCTAGATCTTTCAGAGACATTCTAAATGTTCTCCAGCTGATAGAAGGCCAACTTTATAACCGCCTTATGTGGCTCTGAAGGGTCAGGTCAAAGGTCAACCTGATCTCTAGTTTCCTGCTGGACTCATTAGGTCCAAAGATAAAAACTTCAGTTTTATTGTGTCTTGTAAAAAATAAAAAAATAAAAATAAAATTGTGAATAACAAAGCTCCAGTGTGATCATCCTTCCACCAAACTTTCCCCTGTGCAAGGAGCAGTCAGGCAGTGGTTGCTGTCCATCGTTGTGCTGACGTTGGAGACGTGATGCTGGGCGTCGCTCTGACTCTTTAAGTGAAGCTGAAGCTGATCTGAACTCTGTCAGCTGTGGCTCTGATCCAACGGCTGCTGGCTGCAGCTGTGAGGCGTTTCCACCGTTTACCTCTGGATTCATTCTTTATTTGGTGGAAATGATTTCATTTGTTTCACTCTGTTAATTTCTATAAAGATGAGTTTGTTTTTCTGAATAGTTTCTCCAAGAACTCACCTCTATGGTTGTTTTACAAACTAAACTTAGGATGAAATTAAACTCCTCTCAGGTTTTGTATTTCACTCTGACTGCCTATGTGGACTCTGGTTTGCTGAAATATTTCTGTTTCTTCATCCTCCTGGTCCTGTATGTCCTGATTATCGGCTCCAACGTCCTGCTGATCGTGGTGATCTGTGTGAACCGGAGCTTACATGAACCCATGTTCCTGTTCCTCTGCAGCCTGTTTGTGAACGAACTGTACGGTAGTTTGGGTTTGTTCCCCTTCCTGCTGGTCCAGATCCTCTCTGATGTTCACATCATTCCTGCTCCTCTTTGTCTCCTGCAGATTTTCTTTCTTTATACTTATGGAAGTGTAGAGTTTGCTAACTTGGCCGTCATGTCTTATGACCGATACGTAGCGATCTGCCGTCCTCTGCAGTATAACTCCCTGATGACTGCACAGAGGATAGTTTTCCTGGTGTCCATCATATGGCTGCCTCCTCTTTTCTGCGTTGGTTTCACCGTATTCCTGAGCTCCTCTCTGCAGCTCTGTGGGAACGTCATCAATAAGGTTTACTGTGACAATCACTCCATCATCAAGCTGGCCTGTAACGACCCCACAGCCAACAACATCTATGAACTTATCATGGCTTTCCTCACAGTCTGTGTTCCTGTTTCTGTGATCCTCTACACCTACCTGAGGATCCTTCAGGTGTGTTTCTCTGGGTCCAAACAGACCCGGCAGAAAGCCGTCAGCACCTGCAGCCCCCACCTGGCTTCTGTAATCAACTTCTCCTTCGGTGTTTCCTTTGAAATATTGCAGAGCAGATTTAACATGGACACGGTTCCCGGCTTGCTCAGAATCCTTTTATCTCTGTATTTTCTGACGTGTCAGCCGGTTTTTAACCCGGTTCTGTACGGCCTGAATATGTCCAGAATACGCAGCATGTGTAAAAAGCTGCTTCTGAACTCTGTGAGGAAATGATCACCATGAAGAAGGTTTTTATTTTGGTTTCCGGTAAAATTAATACTTGATAAAATTCACTTCTTTGACTCCAAAAGAGATTTTAATTATTTGTTTATACAATAAAAAGTTCTAAGAATCATAATTACTATTGCAGTTATTTACAAAGAAATACTGAGGTTAACCTTTGACCTTTTGAAATAAATGTAAGTCCTGTATATATAAGTAGAAGGTTGTAACTGTCTTCTTCTGAGAAATAATGAACATAAAAGCTGCAGGTGTTTGACTTTAGGTGGAGAATTTACTCAAAATAATTGAATCAATTTTAGTGTCAAATGACAAAAATAATTTATAAACATGCAAACTAAGCCATTATGTTTTTCAAGAAGCTCATCAGCATGTGGCTGAATAACAACATCCTCTGTGCTCCTCTGTCCTGTTTTCTCTTTTTGAGCCTCTAAATTACAGTTCATGGATCCGGTCAGCTGGTCTCAACGGATCAAACCTCAAAGTCCTCTGTCCCTGACAGGACACATGGAAGGCCGTGCGTCTGTCCACGCTGTCAGCGGAGGATGTTGTTTAAGACGTGAACATAATTACATTTTTGATAACAGAACTTTTACTTTTGGATTTGTCTGTTGGCTGGCATATCGAGAAATTCAGAAAATGTCATCAGCTGCTGTAGCAATAGTTAAGCTGCAGGCCGGTGTGAGGCGATGCGCCGTTGGATCAGTTCGGACTCCGTGGTTCTGTTTGCTGAGAAAACAACCTGGACAAGTTGCAAACTGGATCCTGTGGGACTGACCACAGATGTGGCTGTTTGGATTTCAGCATCAAGATGAACCACTGAGACTTTAAGGCAGAAGGAAAATTAACGTAGTTACCATCAAAAACACCCAATCAGAGCCAGGAGGAGGAGCTTAGTGCTGTCAATCAACCTCATTTACTCGCTGCTAAATGTGTTTATGAGAAAAACAATTTACTGTTTCAGGAAAACCGTTTATTCGCCATCGGCAGCCATGCTAACTACCATTAGCATTTGTAGCAGGGGAGGCTATGTTTGCAGCTGCAGCAGAGAGTAGCGCTAAGACCCTCCCCCTGGCTCTGATTGGGTGTTTCTGACTTGTTGGTGCAGTTAGTACTGGGAGCACTGGGAGGAGACAGACGCACTCCATTTTTTAGATTACTTATTATACTGTCACAACATAATGATAATTATGTGAAAACCAAATGTTTTTAAATGAAAGTTACATACTGCAGTTTTAACTCATCAACCGTTTCTCCTCTCCATCAAGAGGTTCTGTGTTTTTCCCAGGCCACCGTTGTTATAATTATTATTACTTTTCATAATTTATCTTTTCTGGTTAAATAAAAACGGTTCTGAACCAACCAGGACTGAAAGGCGACTCAGAGAGGAGAAATTCATCTGAAGAGTCAGACGCCCTGCGGTGTTGAAGGCCTGAACTGCAGCGTTTGGTCATGATGATCACAGTCAGTGTTGCAGAAGCTAACAGACCCAAAAACATTGAAAACGGCTGAAAATGGTTTTGTTTAGGAACTGAAACTAAAAAGGCTCCGATTTCAGTCCGATAGAAAACTTTGTGGTTGGAGAAAATGTGGATGATCATTGTGTCCAAAAGCCTGACCCGGGTTCTGACCCGGGTTCTGACCGGGGTTCTGACCCATGTTCTGACCCATGTTCTGACCTGGGTTCTGACCTGGGTTCTGACCTGGGTTCTGACCT